CTAAAATATAAAAGAATGACTAAATGAACAAAGCAAAAGAAAAAAATCCACACAGCCTGCTTATGTTGGCTCAACTCTAACCTATTCAAGAAACCGGCTGGCGGGTGTGGCGGACCGAGCACCGGCTGGCGGGGTGAGGGCTCTTCCCGCACCAGCCGAATGAACATGACCTCGAGCGGGTCGCAGCGCGCGTCCCACCGCCGTCCAGAGCCCCCTATGTCCGACGAAGGGCTTGTTTGTCACCAGGTGCTTCCCAGCCGCCTCAGGGGCTGTCGGGGTGGGGGCAGGGCACTCAGAACTGGTCTTTGGGGTCCCCTCATTGGCTTTAACCAGAGCAGTTTCACAGGCACCCGTGTTACCTACTGCTTTTCAACACAAAGTTTGAACAGACTCACAAGAAAGCTTAACTCGAAGGTCTGGCAGGTCGCTTCCAACTCTGACTTGAAGATTCTCCTCACAGAGCTCGCGCCCCAGCCTTCCCGCGCTTTCCGCGGGGCGGACCACGGCGTGTTACCGCCGCGTGGCCTCCGCGCTTTCAGTGCCAGGGGGACCAGGGGGCCCACAGACTTGGCTGCTGTGTGAGCAGGAAACCTAGAGCAGGTGTAAGCCCCGCAGAGACCCTGGGCGGGGTGGAGGGAGGGCGGTAAATCATAACAGGTGAAAAACCTGAGAGCAGAAGCAGAGAGGTACTTGGCGTAGGTGCTGCACACGTGCTTGCATCTCCCCTGAGGTTCCTGAACTGAGCTTTTTTCCTAAACCAACATTCTTTTCCCCATCCTACCCCGAAAGTCCCCAGAGAATAAAAACTAAAGATACCGTATCTGATCCCTCTCAGTACATTTGATTTATGTGTGTTCACCTACGTGTCCACTTTCCGGGCCCTCACAGAGTGTGAGAGGGAGCTCACCGGCTAAATGCCATGGTCTATGTAAAAGTGGGCTTTGTTGGTCAGAAACAAGACTTTGTGACTGTCATTTTCATCAAATCACAATAATAGATTTTTCTTTAGGCAGCCCGTTTAAGTAAATTCTTTTTTTTTTTCTTTTATTAAATTCTGAAGTAGTCCAAGCATACCAAAAAGTGTAGAAAGTTAAGACAACAAACATTCCTGTACTTACCACTCAGCTTTATCAAGCCTAAATTTTGCCTTGTTATCTTCAGAGCTTCCAGGTTTTTTTAAGGGGGAAAAAATTACAGATATGATGAAAGCCCCCAGTGTATCATTCCCCAATGCCATTCTTGTGTTTCCCATACTCCCCTCTATAGATGGAATTACTATCGTTAGTGTTTTTCATTTCCACTTATGTTATCCTCCTACAATATGTATGTACTCATAAAATATAGTATTATTCTGCAACTTATTCTTTTTTCAAGATTTTGCTTCTAAGGTCCATTCATGTTGAAACATACAGCTCTAGATCATGTTAACTTAGGTAGAGTTTGCATTTGTGAGAAGATACTTCAACTTACCTATTCTCTAGTGAATGGAAATTAAAGCTGTTTCCAATTTCTATCCATTGCAAATGATGCTACACTGAACACATCTACACATGTGAAAGCATTTCTCTAAAGTAGTGGAGAATTGCTAGAGTGAAAATTAAGCTCATCATAAATTTTATTTAATATTACCAAATTGATTTCCAAAGTGGTTGTCCTACTTTACACTCCCACAAGCAAAGTATGACTATTTCCTTGCCCCAAATCCTTACCAACACTTGAAATTAGCAGATGTCTCCATTTTTACACAGCTGATGGGCATAAAAAATTATTTCATTGTGGTTTTAATTAACTTTTCCCTGATCAATGAAGAGGTTGTATAACTTTTCAAAAGTGTATTAGCTACTTATGTTTCATCTTCTGCTCATTATCTGTTCTCATCCTTTCCCTGTTTTTATTGTATTTTTCTTACTTTTTCCAGGTGTTCCAGATATTATTCTTCTGTCAGTTACATATATTGCAAATATCTTCTCTCATACTATGGCTTCTCATTGTATTTTATTTATTTAAGTTGTCTTTGTCATACAAAATTTTATTGGAGTCAAAGTTATCAGTATTTTTTAATGATATGTGGTTTTTAAGATCTAATTTAAGAAATATTTCCCTACCTCAAATATACACAGATATGTCTGTGTATATTTGTTTTTGTGAACATTTTAAAGTTTTACAATTTATATATATCAAATTTCCTTGAAATTGAATTTTCATACATAAGATGAAGCATATATATAATTTTATCTTTTTCCATGGAAATAATTGTTTTAGCACCATTTATTTTTTTAAAAATCTATCATTTTCCTACTAATTTACAATGCTACTACTACTATCATATATTAAATATTTATTCATGCAGCGTCAAATCCAGGATCTCTATTTTATTGCTCTAGTCCTATGGTCCCCAACCCCTGGGCCATGGACCAGTCCATGGCCTATTAGGAACTGGGCCACTCAGCAAGAGGGAAGCTAGCAAAGCATTAACTGTATTTACAGCTACTCCCCATCGCTCACATCACAGCATAAGCTCTGCCTCCTGTCAGATCAGCGGTGGCATTAGATTCTCATAGTAACGCAAACCCTAGTGTAGACTGCGCATGCGAGGGATCTAGGTTGCACACTCCTTATGAGAATCTAATGCCTGATGATCTGAGGTGGAGCTTAGGCGGTGATGTTAGTGCTGGAGAGCAGTTGCAAGTACAGATTATCATTAGCTGAGATGTTTGACTGCAGAATACATGTAATGTGCTTAAATCATCCCAAAACCATTGTGCCACCCACCCCCCCAAGTCCATGAAAAAATTGTCTGCCATGAAACCAGTCCCTGGTATCAAAAAGGTTGGGTCTGCTGCTCTAGTCTATTTATATATTTCTATGATATTACTCTTCTGTTTTGATTATTTTAGCTTTTAATAAATTTTGACATCCAGGAGGGCAAGTCTGCCTACCTTGTTCTACTTTTAAAATTATTTTGGCTATTCTCAGTCCTTTGTTTTTCCATATAAATTTTAGGATAAAATTGTCAAATTTAAAAAAATTATTGAAATTTTTATTTAATATTAATTTACAGAGCATTAACATATTTAAAATATTGTATCTTGCCATCCCCAAACATTCTATATCTATTTATTTAGCTCTATTTTAATGTCATTCAATAAAGTTTTGTAATTTGTTTCTTAAAACATCTTGAACATTTGTTGGATTTATTCTCAGACATCTTAGAAGTTTTGTTACATTTGTTAAATGTATTGTTACTTAAGTCATATTTTCTGACTTTGAGATTTTATAACTTTGTGGCCAGTTAATAGGGATCTTAGTAATGAATGCTGTGATGTGCCACCTGGATGTCCCTTTAGGACTGAAGGACTAATTTTCTTAGCAGTGGGATATGCTATAGGAAGGCAAACCCGAGTTGTTGGCCCTCTTTAGAAAGTGCCCAACCTAAGGTCACATCCCTTTCCTGGGGAATCCCACATGCAAAGACTGATTGACAGGGAATAAAGACTCAGCTCCCTCACACCAACTTGGTACAACACTAAAGGGTCATCCCAGTTCCAGAGCTCCCCTACTGAGGTCTTCATTGAAGTTACATCTCAGCCCATCTTCTCCCATATTCATTCCTGTGCTTTCCTGTCCACAAATATCAACCTCAAAAACATGCTCTAATAAATTTCCAACACATTAATCTCTATCTCAGAGTCTGCTCCTTGGAGAACCCAACCTGAGACAGTTTATGAAAGCAGATACTAAGATGAGATCTTAAAGTTGATTCATTCTCTGCCTAACTGGCCATGAGGACCCATTACTGGTACAAGGTAGTGGTGAAATTGTGCAGTATCAAACTGAGAAGGTATTCTGGTGAAAGACAATACACAAGAGAATGTGATTTATCAGCATTTGAGGACTATGGGACAAATAACTAGAGATATAGTGAAATTGGGTGGCTACAGCCAAGATTTATTAATCCTTTGAAAAAGATATCAAAAGGCTAATAGAAATTAATTGGCAATTAACAATTATTTAATAAATTGAAAACAAAGAATCTTTATGGTAGCTCATCAAATGGCTCTCAGATCTTGCAGCCTGAGGAAGGAGGGAAGGAGAAATGCTGGAGACCAGGCCCGTGATTTAACCATAGAGTAGCTGAACTTCAAAGATTAAGCTTTCAGCTTATGCAGGTCACTTATGTAAATTCAGAGCCCTGTTGGGAAAGAATGAATCCTGTAACAAGGATACAGACATCCGAATTAATTCACCTGAAACTCTTAAATTCAACTCCCCATGCCCCTGAACCCTCTGATCTTACAGCAATATCTCCCCGCCACCACCCCACTCCCTTGCCCATTAAGGTCTACTTCTCTCCTTATTTGCATATATGGAAGAATCTTCCCCCACTATAGGACAACATGCTTTCCCCCTTGGGAACTGCCTCTACTTCCTCTCGTGGCAACTAGGACAATAACTAAGTCATAAAATACCCCAGACCCCAGTTGTTGGCCCTCTTTAGAAAGTGCCCAACCTAAGGTCACATCTCTTTCCTGGGAAATCCCACATGCTAAGCCTGAGAAAGACATGCTAAGCCTGAGAAAGAAGGAAAGACAAAATGCCAAAACGGAGCTGCAGGACCTAGCAAACATGTCCCAGCAAGAGCCAGAAGAATATGCATTGGACTGGATTCTGAGGATGCTAGCTCAAGGGAGCAGCTGGAAGTTGAAGATGGAAGAGTTTATTGATTTAGGGGCACTCTGACAGGACACAGGATTTAACACAGGCCCTGTTAAGGACACTAGGAGACTGTGTAAACATTCTGCTAGAATGGCTCCCAAAGCATGAAAAAGTGATGGCCCAGGAATTCACAAACTACAGTCCACTAGCCAAATCCGGTCTGTGGCTTATTTTTGTACTGCTTTCAAGCTAAAAACACTCTTAACATTTTTAAAGCATTGTGAAAAATAAAGAAGACAGATAAACATGGCTATTACATCTATCTTCTTTATTTTTCACAATGCTTTAAAAATGTTAAGATTGAATATTGTCAATGATTATAATGATCTGTTTCTTCTTGTGTCAGTTCTGGTAAATTTTTATTTTTCTATGAAGTTGTCTACTTCATCAAAGTTTTTAAGTTAACTGGTATTTCGTTAGTCATAGTATGTTCTTTTTATTTTTTAGTACTTACTGTATCTTACCAATGTTTCCTTATTCATTCCTGAAACGATATATTTGTGCTTTCTCTGTTTCCTGCCCAGGTTATAAACAAATTGAGAACACAAATAAAGGAGTGTCTTTATTATTGATAAAGGCTAGGTTGGAGGTTGTAGCTTAATATGAAAACCAGAATAAAACTGACCTACTGAGTATACAGAATTCCCCAAAAGAGCTGCCCATGTAGATTTATGGCACGGAAGGCAAAATAAACTGTTCTGACTCCAGACAGGTTTGCTCTGGAAGAAGAAAAAGAGCAATGCTAAGCTGAGTAAGCTCAGCTTATTCTTCTCAAATTTACCAATTAGATAAGTCATCGTACCTTCTTAGGAACTGAATGCAGAAAGGAGCACAAGAAGGTCAATGCTAGGATTTTGGTGAACCTTTATATATTTTTAGCTTTTTCTTTTATCAGTTTATGTTCTCAGCCTCATAATTTCCTTCCTTTTAATTCCTTTGGGTTACTAAGTTTTTTTTACTAGATTCTTAATTCATTAATTCCTAATTTTCTTCATTTCTAATGAAAACATTTATGGCTATCAGTTATACTTTAGCACTTTTGCTCATTACATAACTTTTATGTGTGATATTTTCATTACTATTTAATTATAAATACTTGTTTCCATTGTTATTTATTATTTGACTTATGATTTATTTATAAGTAGAGGTATTTTTAATTTATAAATATATATATTAATCTTTTACTTACTGGTTTCTCATTTATTACTATTGTAGTCAGAGAACTTGGTGTGTAAATGCTTTTTTGACATTTATTATATTTACTAAGACTAGCTCTGTGATCGTGTCACATTTCTGGTTTTTGTTTTGTTTTTATTTTCAATCTAATATAATAATCTTGATCTTTTAAATGTAGAATTTAGTCCATTTTCATTTATTGTGATGCTGACATATTTGAATTTATTACTGTCACCTTATTTTGTGTTTCCTATTTATCCTAAAATTTACTTATCTCCTATTGTGGCTTCTACTGAATTAACTGAGTTTTCTTTATTCTTTTCCCCTTCTCTACTGGTTTCGAAGTTACACATTTAATTTCTATTCTTTTAGTGGTTATCCTTAAAGTTTTAATATGCATACTTATCTTAAGAAAGTTTCAATGCCTCTATTTACCTAAAGTATCAATACCTAAAGTATCAATACCTCTATTTTCCTCCAAAACAATACAAGCATTTATAACACTTTAAATCCTGTTTTACATATTACTTTTATACAACTTTTAATTTTTCTTTGTCTTTTTACCTCTAAATCATGCCATTGTTGAAATTGTTATTTTATAGAATTTATCCCATGCTTACTAATTTATTTGTAATGTAACAGTTTATTTGTTCATCATCTTTCTTGCATCTCACTCCTAATTTCTGGATTTAATATGTCAGGGAAAAACTCTTTGTTCAGCCAAATTATCATTCAAGAGTGAAGATATAACAAACAAGTTGCTATCTCAGCACTTTGAAAATATTCTTCTTCTTTTTGATATTGAAAAGTCTGTTTTCAATTCTTATAAACAATATACTGTTTCTTTTTTTATCATTTCTACAATTTCTTCTTTGTCTTTTGAGTTCTGAACCCTCCTTTCAGTAAGTCTATTGTATTTCTTTTTATTTAATCTGCTTGAGATATGCTGTGTTTCCCAAATATGAGGACCTAGATCTATCCTTAGTTCTGAAAAATTCTCAATCATATTTCTTCAAGTATTACCTTTCCCCTATTTCCTTTATTCTTTCCTTCAGCAACTATAGATTAATATATATATATATATATATATATATATATATATATATATATATATATATATACATACATACATATACACCTTTCAATTCTATTCTAAAAGTATGTTTACCTCTCTTACATATTTTCCTCCATTTTATCTCTTGATGCTAGGTTCTGGATCATTTTTTTAGATTTGCTTTCCAGTTAACTAATTCTCACCTCGAGTGCATCCAATTATATTCGATTCTAGAATGTTCTAGTTAGTTCTTTTCAAATCTGCCTTTTATTATTTTTTATAATAGCTTATTCTTTTCTTATATTTTAAATTCCCTATTATATGTATTTAATAATTTAAAACAGTATTGTAATAGCTTGTGCCCACTGGTTCTAATATCTTAAGTTATCAGCAACTATCTAACTTTAATGTGTTTTTTATGTCTGCTAATGCACACTCATGATAGATTGTTTTCCTGTGTATTTGAAAATACATGTATCATGAGCTCATGTTCAGCAGGTATTTACCTATAAAAATCCTGTGAGACCCAGATTAAGGGTTCATCCTCACCCTATCAGTTTTATGTTAGTTAATGCCATGGGCCCATGGAATAGCTCTTTTTTATAAGGATTTCTCATCTTGGGGGGTTCCCCATAATATAAGCAGAATAAAATCAAATGTCAAACAGTCACAGGTCCATGGTAGACTTTTTTCTTGCCTGTCAAGTAGTATCTTGCTAATGCTTAGGACACTGTAGAAAACAAGTGGATTGTAGGAATTTTGTTCCATTTTTACTCATACTGGATAAATTGTCCTCTTTCTTAACCTTTTCTCAATCCTCATATACACCCAAAATGATTCCCTAAATAATGGCTTGGGTTTTTCTTCTTCTAGTAATCTTCAGAATGTTTTCCTCCAAAGGGAACTAATTGGCTAAAGCAGAGTTCCCCAAAAGAGCAGACCCATAGCGCACTTTGGAAGCAGAAGCAGGATTTTTATCAGCTTCAATAGCATATTAACGAGGAAGGTCAGCAGGGAAAGAAAAAATAGGGGAGGAAAATAGAGAGAATAAGAGAATTGGTATTTGTTGTCCACTGACATTACATCAATCTTCAAAGACACTCTTTGTGGCAGATGCTCCCTTCAATTTGCAGATGAGGCCCAAAGCTACTCAGTCAGGACAAGTGTCTAACCCATGTCTTCCTGGCTCCCTTCCTCCTTTCCTCATGGTAAACATCAGAAATATAGCCTTAAGTGAAAAGGAAAGCTTAAGGCAGGTAAAAGTCCTAGTTCTAAGCGGACCTTGGGAGCTGATATTTTTGTAAACTCTGCTTTTGCCAGTCAGTTCCCTCAGGACATACTGGAAAAAATGAAGAGTTTTTCATTTTTTATGCTCTCTACCACACCTTCTCCATCCCCCAAGTTTCCAATGGCAATTGTGCTGATTCTCTAGGCTGGAAGGCTAAGACCACAAGTAAGGAGGGAGGGACTATTGGAAGAAAGGCTTTTCCAAACCTCCCAATGTCAAAACGTCTCTGACATTCCCTCTGGAGAAGCCTCTCTTTCCTTGAAGGCCAGATATACCTGTGACATAAGACTGCAATGTAATGTGATTCTATAATAGAATTCAGGCCTTCTGATGCTCCAGGACATTTTTTTAAAAAATCATACAGTCATCAAAAAGCCTCCCTCCCAGCTGTGTGGAAAGTGACTCTGCAGCTCTCACTTAATTTTGGTCACATTACCTCATTCTATACATCATTCATGACAAGCAAGGAACCACAGGGCTCCCTTTGCTAAATCTTCTTGTCCTTGACCCAGCTGTAATTCATTTGGCCATTTACCTCATAAATGTGGTAAGTCCTGCCGCTAAAAGAGGTTCTGCAGAAGTTTTAATGCAGTGGGTTCTCTCCTGGTTGTCACAACAAGCAAAAGATGCCAAGGTAAATAGGAATCCTGACCTACTACCATTTTCTTGTCCTTCCCATGTGATTCACATTGCCATCACTCTGGCAACTAGGATGGAAAGGGTGAGAGAGAGGAGATTTTTAAAAATTCTTTGGATGGGCTATTTATGTCTTCCAACCTGGTACTTTTCCTTGAACTCAAAGAGAGCACCAAGACAGACTGCAGCGTGACTCTTCTACCCCACATAAGTGAATACATTTACACTTCATCAGCTGTTTGTGTTGGGAAGGAATTAGGAGTCTCCACGTACTTCATGGGCTCATATAGGTTTCTTGAATGTTAAGGTAGAAACTTAGGAGCATATGGCTGGCCTTAGGCTTGAAAGAGAGGCAGCACCCAGCCATGCCCAAGGGGAGTAGTTCCGTGAGGATGTTATCTTATTTATAGACACAACTTTTCCACCAGTCTTCATTAGCAGGGCTTTATACCTCTCTTAAGAGAAGATAACACAGAAGCAAAGGATTCATTCTGGACCTGCTCAAAGAGTAGCTGGAGCTACTCTTTGGAGAGGGAGTCTGTAGATACTTAGAACTGAACCAGGAAGTCCATCCAGTCTATCCCAGGATTTAGGCACCATTAGATAAAAGAGACTTCTCACCTATGGCTTAGACCCATTCCAATCTTCTGCACTCCCGACCCCTACAATAAAACGTTGTTAGAACTGAGGGGCTGCATGATGCTGAGTCATCAAAGCAAGAGTAGATCATGGCCATGTACATAAACGCAAAGGTAGATATTTTAGAAAGAATTTCAATATCAAGAGTCAAGGCAGAAGGGGCTTTATATTTAACTAGGAGTTAAGCATAAATTCTGTTTCTCCAGAATTCCAATAATAAAACTCTTAACTCTGAAGTATTTGGGGACACTGTAGAGTCTTTGTTTAAGATCTGCCACAGTAAGATAAATAAGCAAGACACAAAAGCAATAAAATTCAGTGGAATTTCTCCCAAAATATGCAATGCACTTTGAAAAAAACCAAAGGAAGAGACTAGCAAAAAGATACATATTACTCTACTTAAAAGCAACCATTTTTATATTTAAGAAAAAGGGAGCCAGAAGAGAAGTTCACTCAACTAGATCATCCCTTGAGTCCTCTTTGCAGAGAGGCCAGATAATCTGGCAAATCAGAATCACTTTCCATCTACCCATGGGTCCTGCTGAGCTCCTTAATTCTTATATTATGGAGATCTTAAAATCAATTGCTAGAAGAGTGCATCAAAGAAAGTCTCAAAATCAGCTTAAGGTTAATTTCCCTCAAGAAATTCCTGGCTTTTCTTCTTTTGGTGCCTCCCTGTCCCCACTTCTTAATTGCTTCTGTCTTCCTCCAGCCTAACCCCAACTTGGTCTTTCTTACCAAGGTTTTCCCCAGGACTGGCAGAGCAGACAGGAAAGCTCTTTAAGAATACAGAATTTACTATTAATAGCAGTGACACAAGGCCATTGAGAGTCAAGGCAGCCAAGCAAGGAAATCTGTCAGCCTGGATTAGCTTTCCAGCACCTGGAAGGTAGGACTTATTTATAAATAAAAATAGACAGCAAAAAATGTCTGGCCCCTCCTAGGCCCCTGATGTCTGAGAAGGCCTTGCATGGAGTCAAGTCCAAAGGCTTTCCCCAGCTGTCCTCCAAACCTAGCAGCAAACATTTTTGAAACTGGAATTAACAAAAGGAAGGCTTGTTTCAGTCTGAATCAAAGTCTATGTTCATATGGGCAGTGTATCTTTTTCCATGGATTTCCAACAGTTGAACTAGATCCCCAATAACCTACAAGAGGAGCCAGATATGTCATAGCATCCTCTGGGATTCACTTATCAAAGTCACTGATGACTTCTTTACTGGAGTGTGGTCCTTGCCTTCTGCTTCACTTTCTGGGCCTTCATGCTTCCACCATGGAAGGACTGTGCTTCCTCTATGTGGGGTCTAAGCCTCTTCTCAGCCCTGGTAAAAATCTCTTTTTTCATCATAGAATGGACTATAAGAATTGAGTCAAAATATTTTGAAAGAAGCTCGCATTTTAGAAGAGCATTTTGAGTTAATTTACTTAGCCTCTGGGTTCTATAAACCAGAATATAAGCTACATGCAGATACTTGTTGCCATGTTTAGAGGTTAGGTGACCACAGATATAATTCATTTTCATCAAGCAATAAAACTATAAAATAGTCACGTAGGCCCTATTCTTAAGGCTTTATGGATTACGTCACCTTATGCTGCAATGGTCTCTGGTCCAGAGAAGCCTATAGTACCACAATACTGAAATCTTCTTTCAAATATCTCAAGTAATTACATACAAACACACACACAGGTATCAGTGACAGTCCTGTTGTGTAAGCTAAAACAATTGGCCAGAGCATTTTCAACTCCCATCTCTCATCTTCTAATTCTATCACCTCCTATTATAAATAAGTTTTGCCTTCTAGGGTGTCAGCAACTAGTAGACAATAAACCACCTCCCTCCTGTTCCCCATATTTAGCTCCTTTAATCTTTCCTCTTATTAAATTCCCAGAGTCCTCCTCACCTCCAACTACTCCTTCTCCTTGCCCTTCTCCAAATTCCCTAAGGTTCTGTGCCCCTTAACTGAGCTTTACAAAATCAAATTGATATTCCAGATGCTTGCTCACTGAGGAGCCAAGAGACCAGCTGTCACCTCTGCTTTCTGTTACTCTGTGACTCAGGGGTTGGTCTCAAAATAGGTCTGGCCTTTCACGCTGTTTTCTCTCCTTGCATTCTGGCTCCTTGCTAGGTGTCCACCATCACCCCAGCTCCCCTCTGGCTTTCCTGCTTTCCAGGTTTCTCTTCGCCATGATGTGCACGTTTCAGATGATTTTCCTTCAAATTTGAATAGGCGGCTGGTCAGGACTCCAAGAAAGAATGTGTCTTATTATCTTCCCAGTTAGGAAATAGCCTGAAAGTCTTCATGAACATTTATACCAAAGGACCTCTTCTAAGGCCTTCCACTCTGGAAGGAGAAAGCAAGAAAGAAAATTATTTATGATTTTAGATTCTGTTGGTACTTCCAACAATTTTTCAGAGAAAGAAGCATAGCATTCTGGGCAGGATCTTCCTCAGAAAGGATTTAACTGGCTTAAGAAGGGTGACTATGCACCACCTTAGAGCCGCAGAGAAGAAATTTTCCCTATGAAAGTAAATTCCCCTGGGCTTACATGGAGCTGCCATGGTCTTCTCCACTTTGTTGCTTGGGAACCTTGCTTTCTTCTCTTCTTCTCCCCCAGGATCTGTCCTACTCTCTTTTCTGGGAGCTCAACCACAGCAGGTGTCAGGAAGGGTGTCCATGAGAACTGAGCCCCACCCCCCACTGCCAGGAAAGTGCAGGGTCCCACGCTGTACCCTGGGGAAGTCCAACAGGCACTCATTTCAGGAACTCCCAGGCCCACAACACTAATCCCCACAGTTTCAGGGGGAAAGAACATTCCTATTTTGAGAGGTCCTGGGCAATGTCGTGGTCACCCAGGCCTGAGCTACAGCTCCTCTAAGTTTGTGAAAGAAATCTATTTTTCAGCCATTGGCTATGCATGCTTTATTTTCTTCTGCCTCAATGATCAACTGTTTTGCCACAAAAAGTAAAGCGAGCTAGTGCAGCAGTGGTAATCAAGGAAGCTATGGTATCTGGAATTGCAATAACAGACAAGAGGCCAAGCTAAGAGTCAGAGAGGATCTAAAAATAAGTCACTAACCGTATCCCACTTCCTAATACATACACAGGTACCTAGAAGAGAAAACCACCCTCAGTTCAAAAGAATTCATAAAGAACACCACAATTAACCACAGCCCAGCCTGGCCCAAGGAAGTATCTCTACACCCTTAGTTAATAATCTTGTATGCAAGCATTGAGGACATTTCCTTGCAAGGTAATTCATCACTATTGTGCTTGAGAATATAGAACCACCAGAGGTCTCCACATCAGCCACTGCAGTAATTAGAAAAGAATAGCATCCATGGCATTTGGTACCCATTGTGAAACCATTGCAAGGGTAGTGCCAGTTTGCCTGCAAAAAAGCACATATTTCTTTCTTATCAGCAAGCTACTGTTTAAACAATTCGATGTTTTAATATTACTATAAAAAATCACAGCTAATATTTATTATACATTTCTATAATAGCCCATTATTAACTCATTTAATCATTATATAATAACAACCACATGAAGCATCCCTTTTTTTATAAATGAGGAAACAGAGGCTTAAAGAGATAAGTAACTTGACCAAACCATACCATTAATAAGTGTTAATGTTTAGGTTCAAATTCAGATCTTCCTGGTTACTCACCTAAAGACAGTAATCAACTTTCTATACTGTTACTTACAATCCAAATTTTGAATCCTGTGAGTTTCAAACCATATTTTAATGGCAAATTCTCTTTCTCCCAGCTAGTCAAGCTGATTTTTCACATATGCACATAACTTTGGTTAAAAGTGAGTTTGAGTCCTTTTCTCAGACTTCTGTATTTAACATCACAGTTTGGACGTGGCTCACCAAGGAGTGGAAGTAATCAGTTCTGGGAATAAATGCCCAAGTTCCCCTTCATTCTTTTTCATCTGGGAAATATAAGCTAGAAATAAATGGAATGACCTAAGCCCCAAATTATAAGCTCCCACTTCTTTGGGAGTACCTTGAGAGCTATATTTGTTTGCTAAAACTGCCATTCATAAAGTATCACACACTGGGCAGCTTAAACAACAAAAATTTACTTTCTCACTTCTAGAGGCTAGAAGTCTAGCAGTGTTACTTTTTCCTGAGGCCTCTTTCTTTGGATTGTAGGTGGCTGTCCTCTCCCTGTGGCTTCACTTGGTCTTCCCTCTACATGTATCTGTGTCTTACTTTTCTTTTCTTTTTTTTTTAAGGATAATAGTCATATTGGATTAGGGCCCACCCATGTGCCCTCATTTTACCTTACTTACCTCTTTAAAGACCCTACCTCTGGCCGGGCGCTGTGGCTCACGCCTGTAATCCTAGCTCTCTGGGAGGCCGAGGCGGGTGGATCGTTGGAGCTCAGAAGTTCAAGACCAGCCTGAGCAAGAGCCGAGACCCCGTCTCTACTAAAAATAAAAAAAAATAAAAAAAAAAAACGTTAATTGGCCAACTGAAAATGGAAAAAAAAAAAAAAATAAAGGAATAAAAAAAAAATTAAAAAAAAATAAAAAATAAAAAAAAAATAAAGACCCTACCTCCAAGCACAGGCGCATTCAGAGATATTAGGAGTTAGGACTTCAACATATGAATTTTGGAAGCACATAATTCAGCCCATAGCAGTATCCTAATGACTTTCTTTTGCAAGGTTGTCTGTGTTGCATAATTTAAATGCCTTTGACCCTGATGACAAGTAGTTTAAACCATCGCTTTTTCAAAATGTCTTTGTGTTATCCCCCATGATGATACAGATGTGTTTTTCTGTGACCAAATCATAGTTCTTATTCAAACACTGTTACCAGCAATATCAATTGTATTATAGTTTTCGTCTTAAAGACATCATTGATCTCATTTGTAAAGAAAATATACATATAAAAGATGTTTTTACCAATTATGAACTATCAATTGCTAATAAATAAAAACAAATTCTTGATTTTTAAAATATTTATTGAGACCAATAGAATCTTAAACTCTAATTGTTATACATCTGGCACTTAAAACTATATAACTTCTAGTCAAGATAATGCCCAGAATAACTTACCCTGGCCCCTCAGCATATGTCTCAGTTCCTGATCACTCCATGTGAAGACTCCAAATGACCCAACATGAGGCAATTCAGAAGTTTACGTTAACATCAGTCTAAAAGCTATCATTTATGGGGTGCCTACTGCTTTCACATAATGCACTAGGTACATTATACACGTAAAATCATTTATCCCCTCAAAATCCCTGCAAGAGAGATTAATATTGTCTCTGCTTTACTGGTGAGTATGCGAAACATTAGAGGAATGAAGGAAATTGGCCAAGGTCACACAGTTAGTCAGGACAGGCCTTAGATGTAAGCCTAGTTCCATCTGACTCCAGAAATTTTGTTTTTTTACCACCACATGTTGCTTCTTTGACTTCTTCAGACATGTAACAGTGTACTTTAAGTGGCTCAGTGACTTTAGACTCAGAACTTTTCCTAGGTCATGAAAATATCCAATCTAGTTCCATCAACTATTGGTTTGGGTAAGTAAAATAACAACAGTATCTCTGTTTCTATGTTTTAGCTGCAAAATAAATCATGGCGTATTCGCCATCAGGAATAAAATCTACAACTGTCTTTGAGTGGCGATGAATATCAAGGTTATACAAAACAACAATGCTTGCGTGTATTTTTTTAGAAAGAGTTAATTATCTTGAGTAAAGCCAATTAGCAATCACAAGCTGCTGTGTAACATCTCCAAGACTGTGGCCTAGCATTCCTACAAAACACTTATTTCACTGTTTAATTCTGTCTGTTTTGTGCCCTGGCATCCCAGTCAAAATGTGTTGAAGGCTGGAGCCCTTTCATATCCTTCTTTATATTGTCTTGCCCTGCGCAGCACTATGCCTTGTACAGAGCAAGTGCTCACTAATATTTCCTGATCAGCTTTAAAGGCTTTACAATATGACCACTAAGGGAGGCTCATGGAGGACTTGGTGAGGAAGCCCACAATTGTATAACAAGGTGTCTATGAAATCCCTAGAACCACTCCCCAGACCTTTGATTTCTAAATCTTAAATATCTGAAGGATGGCTGATGGCACTGGTGAGGAGTGGTGGTGTAATAATTATGCAATTCTATTTATTTATATAAAGTAGGAGGTGTAAGAAATCTTAACAGGTCCTAACTGGGGCCCTAAAGGCAGTCCTAACCAAAGCAGGATTCTGTTTGGGGCCCTCATCAACATACCTGAGAGAGCTCAACTGAAGCACTAACTTAGTGCAAGTCAGCCAGTATAACAAGAAATGCTTTCCTCCTTCCCTCTGTTAGTCAGTGTCTTTTTTCCTTAGCAGGACCCCAATCTCTTGGCCAAAAAAGTAGATTATTAAAGTTATACCAACAGGCAAAAGCAGGGTAGTTATAGCCAGAGCTTTATTCTAAGAACTGTGTGCCTAGCCACATCATCCTCCTTTATCTAGAAGTAAAAGTTAACAATAACTGAAACTATAAGTACATTTAGTACTTAAGACTGAGCCACAGGGCCCCTTGGCAAATATAATGGAAACCCTGATGCCAAAAATGAAGAGGTCTTTGTGAAAGAAAAGCATTGTCCTCAAAAGATAGAACTAATAGTGAGAACATGATTGGATGGATTCCGAGAGATCTGATCCCCAGGGAATAAAAGCATTCTTCAGGAAGCCTGCTATGATAAACAGAGCATTTCTTTGGTCTGGTATCTCCTTTCAGTTCAGGATATCTGTCTACAAGTCAGCCCTAGATGCTTATATTTGTCTTAGAGTTATTCTGGGCTCCTCTTCTCAAGCTTATACCTCAAAGAACTAAGAAAACTACAAAATTATTCAGCATATGGAGAATAGGCTTTGAGAATAGCTAATAAATTGATATGAGCTTATGAATTTACTGATTCTTTAAGGAGGCAGAGGTACTTAGATGTGGAGTTTGAGGCAGTTTGAAAACCAAACAAGATGCAGGGATTTAGGTGGCTTTCTCTGAGATCTTCAGTAGCTTGGGCCATCTCAAGTCTGGTCTGAAGCTCTTACCCCTGCAACCTACCTACCAGCCTTAGCTAGGTTAGAATGCACTGACATTTAAAATCAGGAACAGAATAGGAGGGCAGTTAGAGAGACCCAAGAAATAGGTCTCTCTACTAAACTCCTCTAAATCTGAGTTATCTTTCCTCAGAAGACACAGGTGAGCAGAAGACATTTACTTAAATTAGAGAAGAAGGCTATGAGTTTGGTTAAGCAAAATAAGCATAACTAAGAACAAAAAAATGATATCTGAGGCATAAAGTATGGTGGATAGGGCTGGGCACGGTTGCTCATACCTATAATCCTAGCATGCTGGGAGGCCGAGGAGGGAGGATCACTTGAGCTCAGGAGCTCAAAACCAGCCTGAACAAGAGTGAGACCCTGTCTCTGAAAAAAAAAAAAAATTCAAAATATGGTAGATAAAAGAACCTGGGCTATCTAAGCCACCCACCACCAGTAATGCTTGTGAACGCATTATCTTAGTGTGGATTCAGTATACAGCCTCTCACAGAGCATTCCTCCAAAACAGCAATTCTAGAAAGTGAAAGTGAACACTAGGTCTCCAGAAGTGAGTCACATTGAAGCCATTAGTACACAGCTAACCCACTCCTTTCATCAAGGCAGAAATGATTCCGTATTAGCCACAGCTCCCATGATCTCACTGGCAAAGATATTAAGAATCTGCCGCTCCTCTAGGAGGGAAGGTTGAAACTATGCCACAAATTATTTCACCCAGAACATTGCAGTCTGATTGGATGAATAGGGATGGTGAGAAAAACAGTCCATCTCTCCATAGTAGTTTTCCTTGATCCTATTGGACGGATACTTGTATGATGGGAACTGAGATACATCCTGATGTCTAGTCCAGGGAAAGGCTCAAACTTAGACATTCTGAAGATTAGGAGGATGGTTGAGACATTTTCATTGCAAGTAAGCAGCTTGCCACAAAAGGCAATTGTGGTCTTACAGAAAGTAAAAGTTTAGGAGTGGAGCTGGGTTAGTGCATAGATGGATTTAGGACTCAAATAATGATCAGGTCGTGGTTTTTTGTGGTTTTTTTTCCAATTAACCCTGCTTTCCATTGTCTCAAATACCACATGGCTGCATGATGACAGTGACACCAAGGACCTCTCAGACTCTCAGAGGACAGGCCCCACACAGACACAAGAGTGCTATTCCCAAGGAAAATTTCAGAGCATCTAATTGGGTCACATGTTCACCCCCCAAATCCAGACTGTGGCCTGGGTCATGTAGAGTCAGGAGATGAGGCTGGGTATACACCCAAGCTATGTGGACTGAGTTATAAAGGGGGGAAATCGGGCTATGTTTAGCATAAAAGAAAGAGTGAATACTGAGTGCCAGAAACAGCAAATGCTCATTCTTATTAGTGAGTGGCCTGGAAACTGCTATAGAAACCTTTTGTCTTGGATTGGGTTTCCCCAAGAAAACAGAGCCTGAGATAAAGGCTTGGATGTGGGTCATTTATTTACAGAAATGAATCAGGATATAGTTGGCTGGAAGCTAGAAAGAGTAAAAGAGGAAAGAAGAGAAAGTCAATGTAAGGTACATTGCAGAGGTATACAGAAAAGGGGATCCAGGAGGGGAGCTTTCACTGACCAGCCACCACCCTGCATTGGCCAAGGGTTGCTGTGGACGCTAGTTCTCACTTCCAAATTTATACATGCATGTGAACAGCCTGATGGGTTCTTATGGGTGTCCCACACTGAAAAGTCAGAAAATCTTGCAGGAAGAAAGAAGGAGCTAGATGGTGTAGCTGGTTTCCATAACAATGGTCGGGGTCCATATCAAGAGGGTGTGAGGTGGGCAGAGGTGGCTCATACCAGACTCCTGTGAGAGAAACACTAAAACACTCAAGTCTCTTTTGGTTCGCAAACTACTTCAACCTCTACATCAAATTACATCAGACAATACAGCTAGAGCCAAGTGCCCAAAAGCAACTTGATTGCAAATCAATTTCTTCAGGTGTTTTGGAAAATGATTAAGGTCCCTCTTTGAGCTACCCTTATCCAACCCCAAAAGGTAAATTTCATGGATGTCACACAGCCTATATTTAAGTCAGAACATCTAAATGTACTCTCCAAATGTGATGAAAATCCATCCAGTTGTTGCTCCATCATGTACTGATAGGCAAACAGAATTTTTTATCAATGGGAAAGAAACCAACAGGTACATCACACCTGTAAAAATTTCTCAGCTCAAAGTTTAGGAAAAGAGATGAGACTTTAAGATAAGGAACAAACTCTGATGCATGAGGGAGAAGGAAGG